CTAAGAATATGTACTCCCCTATAAACGAGAATAAAATGACATTTTCATTAATATAAAGAACATTATAATAAATATTTACATTGTAATTAGTTTATGTATGAAGGAATACTTACTTGAAATCCCTAATTGTAAATTTTAGAACACTCTGTGAGTTGATTCTCTGAGTTCCAGTCCAAAACTCCTCCCAAATTTCCAATTGACTAACTTTGACAATACCTCTGATCAGATCAACTAACATATAACAACATATTTCATATAGTTAAGTAAAATATTAATCAATCTAAAAGAATATAATCTAATAATGAGAAAACATACCAATATCAACATTTTCCATCAGAGATTCGTCAAGGACTCTTCTAAAATTGGAAAAGGAGTATAACTGGTCCTTTGATTTTGGCGATGTCTTCTCAATGTGGGTATCTTCATCGACACAGATATGAAGACCATTGAGTGTCAACTGCAAAACATCCGGGTGTGAAATGATTTTGAAGTTACCAATGAAGTATCAATCTTTATTGCACATCATTCCTTCATAGCGGCCTAACAAACGATTCGGAATCGATACGCATATTCGATCTCCCTGAATTTTTGGAAATACAAAGTGAGAGTGATATTGATAATAGATAAAAAATCAGACATTATTTTCTTATTTTTTGGATATATACTTACATATTCATCTACGAGTATAAATGATCTCTGAACGCTGTGACCACTCAGACTTTCTTCGGCTACCTTAATAATTTGAACACAGATACAGCATCGACCAGAATCTATATCCAAATCAGAAATCATCGTGCAAGGAGACATTTTTTTCAAAAAAGGATACGGGTAGTCGGATATGGTTATTCTCAATAAAAATAAATAAAATTAGGTGATAAGTAACAATGGGTACAACTTTTGATTGATTCCACCGTTACAGAGACCAATAGACAATTTTTGTTATGTTTTGCTAAATAACGGTCATCGTTGACAATTCATTAAAACGATTCATCTTTTTATGTTTGATAGTAGTTAATTTGCATATATATGCTTAGTTATAATATAGTAATAAAGTTTTTTCAAAACTGGATTGGTGCATCTCATGGATAAAACCATCACCATAAAGCGTCTCTATTTTAAAATTATGAGTATTTTTATGATTTGATAATTTATTTAGTTGATTAAGTTTTGTTTGATGGGAAAAATTGTAAACTTCATTAATTAGAGAATTTATGTTAAAATTCTATTAAGGATTGATATATATATAAAAAAATATTAAAATTCTGTTAAGGATTGATATATATCACAAAATTTACAAATAGATTTGATGTATATACTCCAAAATTTAGGAATTATCTTAGAATTTCCTTTTCTTTTTGAGAAAATATTTCTTTGTTCGATGTGTATATATAACTACATTTAAATATACAAATCCACGACGTTCATGCTCTTTATACTACTCTTAATCATAACAATGAATTTTGATATCCCAGTTAACATTCCTAAATCACACAATCCCTTTATGGTTTCGGTTTCAGACCTTGATCCTGCTAAGCATAAGTGGGTTGTGCGTTTTAAAATTTTACGTAGATTTTTCCATATGAACGGAACAGATGAGACACATGATTTGATATTGGCAGATGAGAAGGTAATATATATTAACCCATATTTCTAAACGTCATTTTTTTATATCTCGAAAAATATACTCAAATCTATAGTTTATATAGTTTATACGTTGTATATTTTGTGCCTTATATAGGGTGATAAGGTTCATGATACTTTAGCCGAAAATTACGTTGACAAGTTCTCAAGAAGTGTTGCCTAAGGTGATTGGGTTCTTTTAGTTGACTTTGATCTTATTCCCGTGGTTGAAGTTTTTAGATTCACATCGCATCCTTACAAAATTTGTTGGAAATATACAACTGTTTTCCATAAAGTTACGTCTCAAGGTAAAGAGCAATTTTTTAACTTCATAAGATTTGGAACAATCAAAGCCGGGTTAGTCGACACTTAGATTTCTATAGGTATTTTATTTGCAACTAACCTTTTTAGCACATTTCGTTTTTAAAATTTACTGAATAAAAAAAAACAATGACTATTTCTTTTTTTTTAGATATAATTGGTCAACTAGTAGATGTTGAGAATTTTGTTGGCCGCTCTTCTTTGAAACGAAGTCGTCGTTGTGGGAGTGTGTATTTCAAACTTGGAGATGAGAGGTTTGATTTATGTTATTTTAAATAATTTATATCATGTTTTTGAATTTTTTTTATCATGTTTATCCTTGATATAAGCTCATTGATTCTAATAATTGTAGCGATCGTCGTTTACAAGTGCATCCAAATAGTGATTACTCGGAAAACTTCTTAGAATCTCTGCTTAGTTGCAAACAAGCTATGATCATCGGTGTGTAAAGGTTTGTAAAGGTGATCCAAGTGCATGATGTTTGGATTGTTACAACAACATTCAAATGGAGTCAGGTTTTGATTGATCCTCCATTCACCGAGGTTCACCGTTTCAGGAAGCTTATTCTAGAGGCTTAGTCATAGAAATTTTTTTTTAGAAAGAAAACTTAATAAACTTTGTTTCGTTTAGTATCTAATACCATTTTATTATTTTCTTTCTATTTTTTCTTCATGTTAAAAAAGAAAACTTATTTGACTGGGTACGTTAATAATATAATTTTATTAGTTTTTTTTTAAATAACTCATTTAAAAAAACAGATGATATATAACCAACGAAAAAGTTCAACAATAAAAATTATCATCCATAAACTCAAAATGTTACTTAGAATAGTTGTATAATTTTAAAATCAGCAAGTTTTAGTTCGTAACTATAAAAAACTTTGTAATTAATTTCTAAAATATATAATACCTGGGCTTGGCACGGGCAGTCACCTAGTTAATACATAAAAACAATTGATTAGTGCCTTGTTTAGCATATTAATACTCCATATTGCTTTTTTAGCATTTGTGAATGTGAACTGCGTTTCTATGTTTAAAACCAGTGTCCGTCTGACGCTTAAAACACACCAAAAAAATGATGCCTTTGATCGCAATAAAGGTTTTGAATAATTTGGTACACATTGGCTGATTTCTGATTTTATATCCCTGCAATGAAAAATATTAAATAATTTTATTTTACTTAACGAAGAACAACGATAGGAATTCAAACGTATTATACCAACAGAACTAAATTCAAGTTAATGCCCCTAAATTCTTATATTATTTGGCGTCTAATGCTCTAGTTTCATCGACTTTAACCTAGGTCCAGCCTTGTGTAAAACATATACAACTTTTTGGGATAAATTCGATCCTTCCTACGTGGACGAATCGTATGCTTGCAGGTGGCGTCCATGACTTTTTTACAGGTATAGCCTTCTGGGCTAAATTGTAACACATATTATCCAGCCTAATATTGTCTAAGCTTATAGCAACAGGCCTCAAAACCATTCGGATTCGGGAGATCCGGCATGATAGGCTATCTGTTCCCAGACTCCTCATGTCTGACAGTGCAGGCCACACTATCAGAAACAAGGAAGTCGGAAACTGAGTGGTTAGGAGGAGCAGAGGCCACATTCTCTTAGTCATCTTAAGTCTCACGATATCTCTCTAGATACTTGTGGTTCTTAAGTCCGGGCACTCAACACTTTTTTGACCATCTTTCCGGTCATTTCTTTTCATTTCTCCTCCACGGCGGTCCCTAAACCGTGGAGCTTCTTCACCCACAAACTCTTCGTTTTCTCTCTTTTCACCATAAAAGCATATTCTTGCTAAAAAGCCTTAGCAGATCTTACCTTTCCTCAAGGACTCTTGGCCCACTTTCCTCACCAGTTTTCCGACTTCTTTCTGCATTCTGATTAGCCACTCGGTGGTCTTTTTTAGCTGTTTTCTAAATTGAACGTCGGAGATCCTTCGGAAAACACACCCCCATCTTGTTTTCCGGGCTTTCACGTCTTTTCTGTTTTGCAGGAGATTTGCCCTTACTTGAGGACCAAAAATCCCCTAAACACAACTTATAAAGAAACCAAATTATATTGTATATGAGAAATTTGTGTCCGTTTTAAAGGTCGGTATTCTTTTTATTAAAATGTGATCTTGAATCATTTTTTTCAGAACATATAAATCAAATAAGTTGAAAAGAGTAACAAAGAAATACTATTGGCCAAAAAAACAAACTATTAACAAAGAATAAAGAGAAAACAGGAAGAAAAAAACACAACAGAATCAGTGGTGAAGTTAGAAATGTTTTTTTTATTTGGGGCATAAATAAACAAATAAATAAATGGGGTTATATAAGATTTTATGAGTAGGAGCATTAATATTAGGCTTTAATAAGTTATATTAAATTTTAAAAATTCATTGAGGCTAATGAGTCCAACTTAATGCATATGGCTCCGCCACTAAATATGTCTCTATTTATAGAGTTTTTAATATAATAAATTTTGGTATAAACAAATAATAAAAATAATTTATTACAAAATAAATGATCTCAAATAATTTATATTAAAAAATACTAAAAAATCTCTGCAATCTGCATTCAGTATACAACACTTATCTCAATCCATATTTAATCCACATTAGTGTTTTTTTTTTAATTTGAAGTGTTTAACAGCTTAATTTTATTTAATTATCCATTGTAAGTAATCTTATAACAAAAAGACCTATACAGTTTTATTAATTACCAATCACAAAATGGTAACAATTTTTCATTTAACTTTTTATACCGTTATTTATTGCCTCTTTTAACTATTCTGATATATTACTAAAAACTTGTATCAGTTTACATTACCGATACTTCTATGGATCAGTTGTTAGGATTGGGTTTGAAAATAAAGAAAAAAAAATTGATCTTGTTTTCTATCTTCCTACGATGATTGTAGTCGTCGAGTAGTTCATTGATCAAGTTTTTTAATAGATCTAAAATATGACACATTTTCGACTAATCAAATGAGAGAGAGAAAATATGACACAATTAATTGAAATTGTTTGGGTTAGAACCCAACATCCCTTTTTAAAAAAAAAATGCAGGGTGTAATATTACACCACCTTATTACATCTCAGATCTCAGATCTTTAAATCATAAAATCTTTCAGAACAAAAAACTTATTACAAACATAGTTTAGGAAAATAAATATTTCTATTATTCATAAATATAAATATATAAATAGTTCAGAAGTCTGAGTATTCATTTCCTCATTTCTTCTCGTTCATGCCAAGACTGTTCTTGACACCGTCCAAAGCACCCTGAGCCATGTTCTTCACTGATTCACCGGTCTGAGATTGAAAATCTCAATTGTGTTACCAACTTAATTTCAATAGTTATATAAAACGTCATATTTGAAAATAACTAAGTAAAATCAAAGGCGGTCTTGGGAAGAGCGAGATGAAGCACATGCCTATCGCCTCCAAATTTTATAGAGTTAATAATATACACAAATATTTGGCTCCCAATTCACAAAATAAAAATTAATTTCTATTAATTGTTTTAGACCTTATAAATCTTAGGGTCACTTTTAAACCAAAATAAATAAAAAAAAATCTTAGGGTCAACCCTGGCCATACGTAGAAAAAAAGTTTGTAAATATATACCTGGCCGAGAAAACCAGCGGCTTGTTCCTGGCCATGTTGGGCGGATTCTCTGGTGGAATGAGATTTATCCGCAGACTTGTTTTGTGCTGAATGTGTAATATCGGCTGCCTTGTCACGTGCTGATTGTGCCACATCGGCAGTTTTGTCACGTGCTGATTGTGCAGTCTGCTTGGCAGATTCAGTCCACTGCTCAGCTTTCTCCTGCAAGATCCATAGAACCATATGCACATCAAAAATATTTACGATTTGGCGATATATGTATGAGTTGGAGAACGAACCTGAGCTTGGCCCCTGGTTTGGCCGGCGTTGAATGATTGTTGTGACATGATTGATGATTCAAGTAAGCAAAATATATGAAGAGGATACGAGAGACTGAATGGTATTAGCTTCGATTGTTTGAATTGGTTTGATACGAACTATATTTATAGCGTTTTTTGTTGTTGGGTCATTAGTGTATAACCTTCTTTTTTGTGTGGATTGATTGGTGTGGATGTTGAGAGAATTGTGGGTGGCCATTTGTGCTTCGTAACATTCTCTTTGACTCTTTCTCTGCTTTTTTTTGTTTACTTTTTCTATTAGATAAAAAATCCTCTATTAACAAAATAGAAACAAACTTGGAAAAAAAAATTAGAAAACAAACCACATTACATTCGGATTATTGGCTATCTCAGTGACTTTGACGGTGAATAGTTAAATTTACTAGATTTTGCGTCCACGCTACGCGTGAGTATTTTGTTGATAAAAATTATATGCAATCAATTATATTTATTAAGATATAAATTTTATATATTAGTAATTTAATAATATATTAAAAATATTATGGTGTTAATTATTATGTAAATTTAGAAGTTTTAACAGTTTTGTTTTAAATCTATATACAGTATATCATATTTCAAAAATATATTAATTTGTCGAACATTTATAAGTTAATATATTCAAATCAACTAAAAATTTTACAAATTAATCAAATGATACTTTTTAAACATAGTATTGACATGATGATAAAATATTATGCATTCACTTCTTTAAATCATGAAGATAATATTTTTCATCATTTTCACTTTTCTTCCAATTATATATGTGTTCTTTAAAAACAATAAAAATTAATAAAATTTAAAATTTAATCTTTTTTCTTCTCTTGTTTAACCGTTACAAATTTTTATTCTGTTATATTAATTTAATCAACAAACTAATAAATAAAATATTTGCTTTGAGATTAATAATAATTTTAAATTTGAAACCAAAATAATAGTTAAATATAAAATGAATAAAATCACACAAATTTGTGAATTAAATATATTATTGTCAATTTGTTGTGTAAACGTTTGAAAAATTTTTCAATGATTATACGTCATCTCTTCTATTAAGAATAATTTTTTATCATGTTCATTTTTATTCTTGTTATATCTGTTTTTCAACGAATATATCATATTTATTTATTTTAATGATTATATGATTATATTCAGTTTCATCATATTCATTCTTATTTCTTGTAATTATAATTAAGTAGGCAAAACTGGTACAATTTAATACATAGAGATCTAGAAAAATGAAATAACAAATTGAACAACTCAAGACTTCTACATTAATCATTGCAATTCCAAGTCGAATATACAAGATGTATTTTTTTGAGCATTTTCGCATAATATATTACATGAGATTATGTGGAGATATGTTTTGCATATGTAAAAAAAACTTTAATAAATATAAATTATAATTATTAGTTATTTAAATTTCTACGTGAAAAACCTTAAAATCAAGTAACCTAAACTTGTATAAGTAGCATATATTTTTATAGATAATAAATTAAATTTAGAACTTAAACATTAATAATGAAGATTTTAATATCTTAATTTTTTTTGTTAATAGGGATTTCTTTATTCTTTAATTTTTTTCTTAATAGATTTAGAATTTTTTTAAAAAAATTTACAATTTTGATATATACGAATAAAATTTAATTTTTAAATGCTGATATGAATGCCTTGAAAATAGAATAGCTTAAACTGTTATTAATAATAGAATAATTTTAATTAACAATTTTTCCTATATTGTTTTGTATTAATAATGTAATTTAATTTTTTAATTTTAGTTATTGATGTACACTAATAAAATTGATCTTTTAAATTTTATGTGGATGTTCTTAGAGGCATATAGCTACGATTTTATTTTTCTATAAATATATTTTTTTGTTAACCATATAAATTTTAAATTTTGGAAATTTTTTTAATTTTAAATATTGATGTGGAACAATAAAATTAAACTTTTAAATCATATTTGGACATTCTTATAGGCATATAGCTTTTACTTTTTTTAATAATAGATTTAGAAATCAACACTGGAATATCCCACGCGAGGCACGCGATTTTGGTCTCTCTTCCTTATTTTGAGGCTTACTTGATCAGCTAATTGTTACCTTTGTGGTTAACGTTAGGTTATTAAAACTCCATCAAATTCCATGTTATTTTAAAAATCTTCCACGAATACCTCAGTCTATGTCTTAATTACGAAACCTCTTTCTCTATTTTCAGTGCTTCGTTTTTCAAAAGTGTCATGATTTTGTTCTCTCCTCCTTTGTTTTGAGGCTTACCGAATGCATTCGGATGCTGATTGGTCAGCTAATTTTTACCTTTGTGGTTAATGTTAGGTTACTAAAACCCCATCAGATACCATGTTATTTCAAAAATCTTTCTCAGATATCTCAAACTTCTTTGTCTTAATGACGAAACCTCTTTCTCCAGTGCTTCATTTTTCAAAAGTTTTGAGTATCAATCACTTGACATGTTTCTTGGATTGTTTGAAATTTATCATTCTTCTCAAATTCGGTGGACAAGCTTTGTAGATTTTTCGGTCTCTTTTTCGTTATTAAAGCGGCTTGTAATGGCTTTATTTATATCTCTTTTCATTATAGTTAAACATATAGTTTAGTCAAGTTGGTTCTTTTACGTTGTAATGACTTATTTTTTATTGAAACTTAACTCTATTTTTTGTTTTGTGTATTTGTAATGGTTGCACCCACAGAAAAAAAAAACTTAAAACTTATTATAGTTATGTGACAAAAAATTGAATGCTAATGTAAGAGTCTCATAATATGTGTTTATACCTCTAATTTAAATATTAAATTTCCTATTTTAATATCATTTATTTTAGTTGTTTTTATTAATATAAATTTTATATATAATTTCTTTTTCTTTAATAATTTTTAAAAACAATTATATAATTTGAAAACTTTTTAATTTTCAATGTTGAGGTGGACAAATAAAAATTTTATAAAAACTATTTATTCAGCAATAATATTAGAATTTGTAAACTTTCTTAATTTTCTTTTTCAACAATAATATTAGAATTTGTAAATTTTCTTTAAATTTGAATGTTAATGTGGACCAATAAAATTACATTTTTTAATCCTATGTGGACACCCTTTAATACATAATTTCTTTATTCTTTTATATATATATTTTATTAACAATAATATTAAAATTTGGAAATTTTCTTTAATTTGGAAATTTTCCTTAATTTTGAATGTTGATGTGGACCAACAGAATTGTCCTTTTTAATCCTATGTGGATGTGGACACTTTTAGATGCATTTAGCTTCAACTTTTATTAGTATAAGATTAGATTTTGCGTCCACGCTACGCGTGGGTATTTTGTTAATAAAAGTTATATACAATCAATTATATTTATTAAGATATAAATTTTATATATTAGTGATTTAATAATATATTAAAAATATTATAATGTTAATATAAAATTTTTATATAAATTTTGAGGTTTTAACGGTCTTGATTTAAATCTATATACAATATGTCATATTTCAAAAATGTATTATTTGGTCAAACGCTTATAAGTTAATATACCCAAATCAACTAAATTTTTTTATAAATTAGTCAAACGGTACTTATTAAACATAATATTGACATGATGATAAAATATTATACATTCACTTCTTTAAATCATGAAGATAATTTTTTTCATCATTTTCACTTTTGTTCCAATTATATATGTATTTTAAAAAAACAATAATAAATTTTAAATTTTAATCTTTTTTCTTCTCTTAGTTAACCGATATAAATTTTTATTTTGTTATTTAATATAAAAACAAACTAACAAATAAAATATTTGCTTTAGGATTAATAACAACTTTAAATAAAATATTATTTGAATATAAAATAAAGAAAATCATATAAAATTTGTGAATTAAATATATTTTTATCAATTGGTTGTGTAAACGTTTAAATAATTTTTCAATGATTATACGTCATTGATTCTAATAAGAATGATTTTTTTTCATCATGTTCATTTTTATTCTTGTTATATCTGTTTTTTCAACTAATAGATCATATTTATTTATTTCAATGATTTTTGTATGATTATATTCAGTTTCATCATATTCAATCTTACTTCTTTTAATTATATTTAAGTAGGCAGTCAGTACAATTTAATACATATAAATTTAGAAAAATTAAATAAGAAATTGAAATCCTCAAAACTAAAAACTTCTACATTAATATATTACAATTCCAAGCCGAATATACAAAATATAATTTTTTTGATCATTTTTTGCATAATATATTACATGAGATTATGTAGAAATATGTTTTGCATATGTGAAAAAAATAATATAAATTATAATTATTAGTTATTTAAAATTCTACATGAAAAGCCTTAAAATCAAGTAACATAAACTTGTATAAGTAATATATAGTTTTATAGATAATAAATTAAATTTATAATTTAAACAATAATAATGAAGATTTTAATATCATGTTTCTTTTATTATTAAAGATTTTTTATTCTTTAAATTACTTTCTTAATAGAATTAGGAAATTTATTAAATTTACAATTTTGATATATACGAATAAAATTTAATTTTTAAATGCTGATGTGGATGCCTTGAAAATAACATAGCTTTAATTTTTATTCATAATAGAATAGTTTTAATTAACAATTTTTTCTATATTGTTTTGTATTAACAATGTAATTTTATAATTCAATTTTGTTTTTTAATTTTAGTTATTGATTTACACTAATAAAATTAACCTTTTAAATCTTATGTGGATGTCTTTGGAGGCATACAGCTTCTATATTTATTTTTCTATAAACATATTTTTTGTTAGCCATATAATTTTAAATATTGATGTAGATCAATCAAATTAAACTTTTACATCATATGTGGACATTCTTAGAGGCATATAGCTTTTTTTTTTTTTTTAAAAAAAATTTAGAAATCAAAGCCGGAAGATCCCACACGAGGCAAGTGATTATGGTCTCTCCTTGTTTTTAGGTTACCGAATGTATTCGCATGCTGCTTGGTCAGCTAATTGTTACCTTTTTGGTTAATGTTAGGTTGTTGAAACCCCATCAGATGCCATGTTATTTGAAAAATCTT